CGGCCCGACCGCGCGCCTTGCCGTCCGCCCCCACAGCCGTACGCAGCGCGCCGCGACGCCGCGAGAGACGTTGAGCCACACAGCCTCTTCGTGGATGTTCGCTTCGTTTCCCAACACACAACGTTTTTCATGCTGTTAATTTATTTGACGCCACTGCTGCGCTGCGCGCGCTAGTTGGCGGTTGCCGGGTTTTGGCGGTCCCATCTCAGAGAATAAAATGTCTGTAGTAAAAGATTGACAGTCTCCGGTAAAAAGCTTATTTAATTTGACATGGCAAACTACCGGTCAAGGAGGTGGGCCTAGGCCACTGCCAGAGGAGGATGACGTGACTGCTCCCGCCCACGACGTGAAGCGGCGCAGCGTGGCCTGGTGGCTCCGAGCCCCTTTTCTGCATGCGAAAACTACGTCTGCTGATAAGGTACTGGCTGTTTTTTGTAGGAAACTATTTGCTGTAATTACATATACAGTGCAGGTATAGTGTAGCTGCCGTGGCTAACTCACGCTGCGCACTTCCGTAGTTACACTGTACCGCATGCACGCATGCGGCTGGGTTGCCTACTCGCACGGGGCCGTAAGGAGCCGTGGGCAGCAAGGATAGGCAAAACCGCCCGAACCGCGTGCGGTACAACAGTAACTGCGAAAGTGCGCGGCGCGCGAGGCCCATATGCCAGGCCCGCCAGGCCGGCCCTTCGCGCTCCTCCCCCGATTGCGACCAATGCCCGGCGCTCCCATCCCAACAACGGCGGCCGCACTGCAGGACAGGCGCCGCCCCCGTCCTACACCCACCACCGGTCACATGACCACATAGTCGTGACCTACGACCCACGCCCACTCTACTTGTATACCACGCCGCGTCGGCCTGCGCCTCTGCGAGGCCACCTGTTGCACCTGCTCGCCGACTTCAACGTGTGGTCTCCGATCAAGCCAGGACTGGCGGCGCCGGCCGCACGGGCCGCGCTGGCTCCTCATCCTCTTCATCATCACCGGCTCCCTGGCTGCACTTTTCTCGTTTCTCGATTTATATGGAAAGGCTGAGGCGCGCAGCGCGGAGCCCCGCGGTCGGAGTAGACGCTCCGGACTGCCGGCCGGCGGCAGTGTTGGCCAAATCAGGAAGCGTCGGGACGGCCGGCGGTAGGGCGATTCGTGACGCTCTAGTTATCACCCTTCAGACTCCGTGTCGGCCCCGCCGCGCTCATCGCGCATGTGTGTGTGTGTGTGTGTGTGTGTGCGTGCGCGCGCGCGCGCGTGTGTGTGTGTGATGAAAAAGTAGGGAAAGGAGCGGGTGAACTCATTACGATTAAATAATTAATCGATTAATTGGCCCGCCCGGAGCGCTCTCACGGGGCGTCCGGCCGGCGCGAAGCGGCTCCTGCGGACGCTGGAGCAGGCCGCGCGGCCGCCGCCTCGCTAAACGCTGCGTATCCTGGGAGCAGGGCGGGGCGCGAGGAGCGTGGATAGAGGGAGCATGAGCGGGGCGCTCCACTTGTAGAGCTCGAGTAATTTGTAATTGTGGTGCCGCCACGACACACGACGACGCGCTCCTCCTGTCCTCCTCTCGCCACAACGGGTCGTGGCGGGGCGCGGGGTGAGGTGCGACAGGGCGGGGTGAGGTGGGGCGGGGCGGGGT